ACACAAGGAGGATGATATCCGGTCCGTCAAAATCGTGTGAATTTCTTTTCATTTTTCATTTCAACCTTTGGAAGTAAAGTCTGATGATCCAGAGCCCTGTTAAAGGGGTTATGGTGAAATAACTTATTACATGGAACCTTAAAGTGGTCTGTTTTTATTCAAACAATATATATATATATATATATATATATATATATATATATATATATATATATATATATATAAAAAATACTATACGCATGTACTGCATTAGCTACGAATTGTGACTGCCTCATGGCTGAGGTAACTGCATTTTTCTTAGTGCTTAAAGTGGTAGAGATCACAGTTTCGAATCCACAATTTCCACAAAAGTAAGTCCGTCTCTAATGGAAGATTACCTTCTCCAATTTTATCTTCCTTTTTTCCCCCGAAGTTATTATCAATTTTAACAAGAGAATTTCAAGAAAAAATCATACAATTAAAAACATTGTTTTTTATGTAAATATTGAATTATTAACATAGAAAAATTTGTTTTTTAATGTATCGTTATTATTTATTTTAATATATCGCTGTAGTAATTAGATTTTAAGTAGATTTACGTAACCCACATTTATCAGTGCGAATTTAGTAAGAACGGTTTTTCTTTTTACAGATAGCGAATGCTGACCTAAAATGTCAAACTACTGGTTAGAACTCTGACGATCCGAACTGAACGGGGATAGTTTCATTCTCGTTTGGCATGGAATTCCGACTATGACGAATTGCATATGAATTTTGTTTACGACCAAAAACGTACAAATAGACGGCTAAAAGAATTAGAAGGCTGAAAATGTTCGCCGCACCCAGATTTCCCAGTGAGACAACCCAGCACGTCCTGATGATATTCTGGCCAATCCATTGACATAAATACCCTCTACCTCACTCTTCCTCCTCTCCCTCTTTAAAATAAAGCTTTAAAGAAGATGCAATCGTTCATTGATGCAATCTATGATGCAGAGTTGGGTTCTGAAGAAGTAAAACCAGAAACGATAAGAAACGCAACAGGAAAAAACGAAACAGATCGACTGTATATTAATAGTATCAGATTTATAGATCATCGTACCTTCAGTTTATTTTTGCCTTAGTGAATTATGTTCTCTTCTTTACTAAAAATGGCACTTTCCAGGTTAAAATTGTGATCATGAAGATTCAGCTGGCATACAAGTGCATTGAGGGTCTTGGTTAATTTTAAAAAAAAACCTTTAATGCTCTTATAATGTTTTCTTTAAATCTGCCAATCTTTTCTTTACATTCTGTTTGGTAAGCTCCTGATTTTTACATACAAATAGATAGATAGATAGATAGATAGATAATGACTAAACTTAGATAGATAATGACTAAACTTAGATAGATAGATAGATAGATAGATAGATAATGATTAAACTTAGATAGATAGATAATAGATAGATAGATTAGATAGATAGATAGATAGATAGATAATGAAGAACTGACTGAGATAGATAGATAGATAGATATATAGATAGATAGATAATAGATAGATAATGAAGATAGATGAGATAGATAGATAGATAGATAGATAGATAATGATTAAACTTAGATAGATAGATAGATAGATAGATAGATAGATAGATAGATAATGAAGACTGACTGAGATAGATAGATAGATAGATAGATGAATAATATGAATAGACTGAGATAGATAGATAGATAATGATAGATAGATAGATAGATAGATAGATAGATAGATATAGAACAGACTAAGATAGATAGATAGATAGATAGATAGATAGATAGATAGATAGATAGATAGATAGATAGATAGATATTTCCCCAAATATATATACCCATATTCGTCGTCCAACAAATTACATTTTAGTATATATTCTTCTTATCCTCAAATATGAGGATAAGAATATATACAAAAATGTAATTTATTGGATTACCGCCCCCAGATGATAATCATAGGTGGTGCGAGATTTGAACGAATCCATCTCTTTCTCGGTGACTTTTCATAGCGAAAAGACGTATTCTTTCCGCTTCCGCAAGAATGTGAGTACTCGACTACAGACACTGAAAGTTGCTTTGAACTCTTAACCTTTCATTTCATTTCTGATTGTTCCTTTTGTAAAATGTCCTATCAATATATTTGTTAATATTTATTTGTTCAAATTCTATGTCTAAACTTTTCTTTTGGCTTTTCGCAAGTCTGGCAAAAAAAAAAAACTGTTTGCAGGTGAAATGTGCCAGGAGCATAAAAATAATCATTAAAAGTGTTGAAGCCTAAAACACATTCCATGGTGATACCGTTGACGGAGAGACAACATTGACTATTTACCTCATTCTCCTAATGAGGCACCAACACGTTCTGTTTATATGGGACTGCCTTTAAGACAAAATATATGTCACAAAACCCAACACACAATCTGTAAGTGGAGTTGACATAAAATTACGAGAGATATGTTACTTAATGATGTTTAATTACATTTCAATGATACTACGGACGATAAAAGGGTATTATAATAAAATAAAAGCTCATCAGAATAATTAGCATGAAAATACTTATAGAAAATTCACATGGAGGCTATGTTACGAGGGTGGGTAAGTGACTGAAGCCGAGGTGCCAGGTTAGGAACGATAAGATTGCAGATTCCTCTTTGGATTTTTTCAAGCATCTCTAACTATATGGCATCAGACTCGGTGAACTATGCTGCACGTTGTCTATGTCGAACTTCGAGAATAAAATTAAATCATCATAGATCCTTATATTGTTATATATATATATATATATATATATATATATATATATATATATATATATATATATATTAGGTTGTTTTATACCCGGAGTTATATTTTCCGATTTCTTTTTTAATTTGTAGGTCTGATGAATTGGATCGTGATTTCGATTCCAATGTAATAAATTATAACCATGGAATATTAGTGTTTGAGCCTTTTTTTATATATATATATATATTTATTAAATAAAATATATATATATATATTTATATAAATATATATATATATATATATATCGAATTTACTGTTTATAAACTCCAATCTTCCATGAATCACGTACATTCATAACTGCCCTGGCGTATCGAATGTAAACAAATGACGTCATATGTTAAGAAATGGACAAGGTCCGACAATTTATTTATTAAAGACACTTTTATGTTTAACGTTGTTATTTATAGATACAAGTATTTAAGCAAATGCTCTGTTTATGATAAACAGTATTAAATAACATTTACCGGCCTGAATGTCCGAGAAATTTTCATAGAAAATATTCGTTCTTTGACAGGATTCGAACCTGCATCCTATACGGAACCGTCATATATGCTGACGTGCCTTGACCGCTCGGCCACAAAGAACCTTATGACATATGACATATGACGTCATTTGTTTATTCGATACGCCAGGCAGTTATGAATGTACGAATTCATGGAAGATTGGAGTTTATAAACAGTGAATTCGACCTTGTCTACCGTAAGGTTCTTTGTGGCCGAGCGGTCAAGGCACGTCAGCGTATATATATATATATATATATTTAGTGAATAACGAGTGTTAAATGAAAGTTTTAAAAAAAAATACGTCATTCTTCAGACTAACAAGGTACGTTCCCATAGTAGCATTACCTAAGAAAAATTGATTTAATCTAAAGAATGTACATTATTACGCCCAATACTTACGATAGCCGGGACGCAACGAGAAAATAAAAAAAAATAAGTAAGAGATCCCAAGGTTCGATATAAAAATAAAGAAAAGAACGTTGGGGGGAATTCTCCAATTCCGGACGTCGGTAAACGCAGAGAAAAATGAACAATTCGCAGACACAGAACAACAGAAGACAACACGAGAATAATACAAAGTTTTTATTTCTAGAATACACGGAGGTAAGAAAAAAAAAAAAAAACTAAATAATACAAGGATGGGGAGATAAATTACCAATTATTAAACAGATACTAATGCGGCGAAATTCATATGAATACAGAAATAGCAGCAGACTATAAGATATGGAAAACATGCAGAAACTTACATAAGTTTTGGAATCGACGTCGATTGACAATTATCGGGGTACAATTTGTTCAAAGAATCAATGTTGATTTACAATCTCGCGTCGGTCCTTGGTTTTTGGTGGCATATAATAGCTAAGACGGGTTTTTGGTGACGTCCGATATAGCCAGTTTAGTGTTATAACACGTCGAAACGAAAACTGTTAAACGTGTTGGTCCCCGAAAAAAAATACGTCATTCTTATCTGTCAAACAGCGTTATTCTTGGCCACTATGGAACTGGTTAACATCATTCACACCTGTCAAACAGCGTTTGTTTGGCCTACGCGTCATAGTAGCAGAACTTACTCATCTGGTTATAAAAACAATATGTATCTCAAATCTGCATATTTAAGAAATAAAAGTTAAGATTCATATGTTTCGTCGCAAATCAAAAGGTACTAAAAAATGTACTTATAAAATCTGATGAGGGTACAAATATGGGGTTAACGTAACAACATCGATATACTTTAATTATTTCTCAGTAATGTTCTCTATGTGTTTTCATTATACATTTTATTATAGACATGACGTTTCATCCATGTTCTTTCTGGCTATCATCAGGTGTCTTAACTAATATGGAATATCTCTGATGCAAGTCATTGTTCATTCCCACTGAACCAATGTTTCTCTACCTGATGCAGAGATTGAACTCGCAATCACTAAATAAAGGGTATTTTTGGTGGTATATTGTCTGATATTTCCGACATTTGCCTCTCATGGTGGTTTTGAACTGTTTTTGGATGATTTTGTGTTTCATTTAAAAGAACGCTATTTCAAGTCGACACACCGAAGAATAATCCACGCAGACGATCATTTTGTTAGATTGGTTAGGCCTAAGCATACATATTTAAAACTTTCAAATTTCTGTTCTTTGAGACCACTGAAACACTTTCTTATTCGAGAAAAAAAACACTTTCTTATTCGAAAGAAAACAAACTTTAAAAGTAGAGACGAGATTAATTAAATAATGTTAGCATTATTTATTCTTTTTTTTTTTTTAGCTTGGTTTCAAATTGTTTTATAAACTGTTTTCGTTTTAAACTTCTTTTTGCTTATTTCTTTCCTGTTTCTCATTTTCTTCGTTTTCCTTTTCTGACAAACTTTTTTTTTATCAGCTTAATCTAAATCTTTCTTCGATTTACCTTTCTTGCTTTCTTTTTCTGTTGCTTTTACGTCTTTTTCTTTCTCTCTTTTTTTTCTTTTCATTTGCCTTTAATTATACGCATTTCTTTCTTCTTTTTATTTTTCCCTTTTTTTTTTTACTTAATCTTCATTCGATTCTTTTTTTTTTTTTGTTTTTTGTCTCCCTTTCAATTTTTCCTCTCCTTCTGTATTTTTTTTGTCATCGACAAAATACGTTGCTTCATTTTTTGCTTTTCGCCCCTTATCTCTTCTTCGTCTTTTCTCTCTTTTCTTCTATCTTTGTTTTGCATACTTTTTATTGTTTTTTCCTCTCTTTTCTCCTTTGCTTTTCATTCTTTGTCGATTTTTCATCTATTTTTATATCTTTCTTTCCTTTTCTTTCTTTCCTTTTCTTTCCTTTCGCTCAAGAAAACACCTTTCTTTTCGCTTTGCTTTTCATTCTTTGTCATTTTTCTTTTCCCCTCTTTCCTTCTTTTACCTTCATTAAATACGTTTCTTATTTCCTCCTCTGATTCATTCCTAATTATCAGCTCATCAACGTATTTCCAGAATAATAAACAAAACCGAAAAACAAAAAAAAAAAAACCACGGCGGCCAGATAAGCTTTTCAAAGTTCGTTCTATTTTCTCGTCCAGGTTAAAAATGAGAGCGAGATTTTGCGATAAAAAGGTAGAGAAGGCAACAAAGTTATGCAAAATAAATAAATCCAACTTGAAAGTTACTGCGAAAATGTCCGCTTCAATCAAGGTATTAAATCGTTGGGATGTTATCAAATCGGCGACTTAATACCAACAACAGCGTCGATAAGAAAGGTTGTTTGGAAAAGAAAAAGTTATCTAAAAGAAATGAATTATAACAAGGTTTTTATTCTTTCTAATAATTCAGATTGAAAAGAACTGGCATTTGCGCAGTAATACATAGCTTACTTGACAAATACAAGAAAAAATACATTCAATATCATTTTAAAAAACAATTAAAACGATGTTTCTTTCTTTAGAATATATATATATATATATATATATATATATATATATATATATATATATAGGATTGGTATATACGGAATAAAATTCCAATAACCAACAAATACTATTCTTAAAAGAGTGGTCAATACAGAGTAGAGCAAATATAATTATTTATTCGAAAATTATAACATAAAAATGTAATAACATATATATATATATATATTAAATTATATTAAATTATATATATATATATATATATATATATATATATATATATGAAGAAATTTTGAAAAAACAAACAAAAATCCTTAAATGTAGTTAAATGAAAGAAATGTCGACGTCTGACGTTTCGGTTTAATAAACCTTTTTCAAGACAATATTCATCAAAATACAATTCAGTTCAATATGACAAATACGATGGACATAAAAACACAAGTCTTATTCAGAACAGATAACTGAAAATTTTTAAAATGATCAGCCTTCCGTCTAACATGGTCACGCTGTCGTCACATGGGCGACGCTTTCATAACGTATTCCTAAAAGTTTGTGATTATTTTGAAATGAAAAAGAAAAAGAAAATGAAAAGAATTCTATTAGGTTCTAAAATTCTTATGTGTATGCTTGTCGAGCATCAATCTCGCTAAAAAAGGAAATATTAAAGAAACCAGGTCTAGTATTCACCGTGCGTGAGATGGATATTATACCTGCTTTTTATTATGAAAATATTTTAATACTTTCCGAAATCCTAAACTAAAGCATTGTTAAATTATTATGAAAATAAAACATTTTAACCTACTTTCACGGAATCGAAATCGGATGTAATATGTTGTCTGCTGGTGCTATTTAATAAACTACTTTCAGTTGTGTTCTAATTTTTAATGCAACTAAAATACGTTCATTGTTTGGTAAAAAAGATGCGATTTAAATATTAGACGAATATCTTTCGTTTATGTTCGAAAACAGGTGTCATTTGATGATTTTATTTTCATAATAAAAATCTTAGGACCTACCTGTTTCCATCCCACGGTGAATATTTTTCTTTAATATTTCCTTTTTTAGCGAGAATTTTTTTTAGAACATGATTCTTTTCATTTTCTTTTTTTTTTCATTTCAAATAATCACAAACTTTTTAGAATACGTTATGAAAGCATCGGATGTAATTATCTGTTCTGAATAAGACTTGTGTTTTTATGTCCATCGTATTTGTCATATTGAACTGAATTGTGCTATTTTAATAAACTACGGATAGTCCTTTAGTAGGTTTTTGCTTGTTTTTTTTTCAAAATATTCTGTCGTTTATATCCATTTTTATATATATATATATATATATATATATATATATATTAAATTGTGTATTTAGAGCATTTTTCATCCAGATTCAATAATTAGACGGTTATTTTATGTAAATTCTTTTTCATAACGTCTGATGGTTATTTAAACGAAGAAAGAAAATCAAAATTGATCCATATTTTTTTAATCCAATCTAAGCGACCAATTAAACGATATGAACTAGAATATTATTGTTTAGGATGATTTCAAGCAACGTAAGACGCTAGAAGCAAAAATCGCACCGCAGATTATGACGTCACACATGAAATTGAATATATATATAAATCATTATATCTTAATTGTTTGTCATTTAGCTGATTGATGTTTCGTCAGAATTCATAAATGGATATAAACTGTCCTTCGCCTTTCTGAACAGAATCGGTAGAGGATGCGCACCGCTGTTGAGTCCCAAATAAGGATGTCATTTTTCTGATCGTCTGATTGAAGATTCCGGTTTTAATTGAATTATTATCTTAAATTATAAAATGCCGGATCCATTTTCATGTGTGTTGCTCTTGGTTTATGAATGCTTGTATAGTGTTATCCCCAGAAATGATGAACTTTCCTAGTTTCAGTAACGAAGTTTCCTTCGTTTAGTCCGTTGGCCCAACGCTATCATATCGAAGCGATTCGTGTCCGACAATTTAATGTCGGTAGAGGATGCACACTGTTGATGAGTCCCAAATTAGGACGAACGGCAGTCCAGTTTTCCGTTCTAAACATAATGAATTATTATGTTCCTTCTATAATATATATATACATCCCGTTGGTATAATCCAGGCGTGTCCCTATTAACACAAAAAAGAATGTATGGAAATAGATTTGTTCTTGTTTTTTTAATTTTCTCAGTAAAATTCGTAGGTGAAAATGGATAACGAATTTTAAACCAGGGATCAATATTACAAAAGGGATCAGGGATTAAAAATAGGAAAAATAGTACCTCTGCGTTTATGTTTTAGGTACCTTTTGGCCGATATTTTTTCTGTATCACAGATCCTCAATTGCGACTAGATGTCCAATCTTAAGCCCGGATCAAACCCAACCGATCATTTCTACCACTGCGCTATATTAATTCGATAAATCTAACGTATTGTTTTTACAAATGTAAACACATGCCAATCAGCCGGAGTAATATTTTACTGAAGAGCTTTTTTCACTCAACAGTGCTCCATCGAATCATATTTTCAAGAGCTATATATGTATTATATATTATTCAATATAATAAATATATTATATATATATATATATATATATATATATATATATATATATATAATTGTCAAAATAAAACAAAGTAGCTGGCAAGAAAAATTATTATCAACGAATGATGTTAAGAAAAAAGCATCTTCCTTGTTAATAGAATTAACAACTATTTTAACAATAAACTAATATATATATATATATATATATATATATATATATATATATATATATATATATATATATATATATATATATATATATTTGTATACATATATATATTTGTATACATACATATATATATATATATATATATATATATATAAAGAAGAGAAAAATCTCAAACGTTTTGTTTGAAATGATTTTTTAAAATATATTATGCATTATTTTCCATTTTTGATGAATAAAAAGTTGGATTTTACCCTTATAAAAAAGTATTTTTTTCCTTTTCGATGTTAAACATTTCGATGTTAAACATTCTCTTTTTGTATGCTAAAAGTTCTTCTGCATGAAAGGCAATAAAACAATTAAGATTGGTCCGAGAAAGATGCAAAGATAAATTTTTCCATTAGCATGCGTATATTTTCATTTTATAAATGAATAATTATATCTTCACACCTATGTTCAAATAATTTGATTTAATGTTACATTTATAGATGTGTTGTAATACTTTTTCTGTTAATTTTTGTTGCTTTTTGTGAAGGGAAACCCTGTTGTTTAGTTGAATATATATATATATTTTATATATATATATATATATAACTTTTTTCATTTTGTTCATTTGAGTAAAATCATTACAAGAATTTTATTTATTATGAATGTGGTTTTGGGGTTTTCAAAAGTGTAGGAGTTTCTTTCTATAATGATGTCACAAACCCTACATCTTTTTTTGTTGCATTTGTGACTCCTGTATTGTTTTGGTTAAATTTGTAATTTGAAAATTCCAGTTTCAAAGGTCTTTTTTTAGTTTTTTACAAGCGACATCCTCAGATAAATAACTTGTTTTTACTTCTCAGTAATAAGAGGATAACGAATTTATAAACAGGGATCATATCATTCATATACAGGTTCGGGGTTAGTGTATCTTATTGGAAATGTATTCCTAAAAACCTCTATATTTGTTTTTTGTATGAATGATTCTTAATTATATATATATATATATATATATATATATATATATATTAGAACTAGCTAAAGTATTATTTTTTGGAAATATATTGTGGCTATTTTGATGAATAAAATTTTATTGCCTTTATAACTTATTTGCTATTTTCATTTCAATGAATAATTATATCTTCAGTTCAAATTTTGATTTAATGTAGATTTTTGTTATTTTTTTCACCAGAATAAGAATATTTTACATAATTGTAACATTACAAGAATTTTAGATTGGGGTGTGTAAACACCCGAGGGTACTAACCATTTTCGAAAATCCGAGATAACTAACGCATTTTAAAATCGGTTCTTATGCAGATTTTTTTTTTCGTATATGCCTCATACATTTCTATTCATGACTGAAAACGATAGCAGCCAGCTAAAATTGATTTTAAAATCGGTTCTCGTTTTTTTCCATACATACTGAAAATGTGTTACGTTCCTTGAATAACATTTGTAAGTTATCTCTGTGGGTTGTCTTAATTATATCCACCAATTTAGGGAATAACTCAATGTGCCAGATTATTTCTTTGCGCATGTTCTGTATTCAACATTTTGGCCAGAGGGCAACAAAGATAATAAGGGGAGCCGATTGGTTTACAGAATCTGAAATAAGACTGGATGGATTGCATCCAGTATTAAAAAAGGGGGGGTTATGCTTGCTTGCATATTATTTACGTCATGTATGCAAAAGACAAATAGATTAGACATTGTAGCTCGTTGTTCGCCGAAAGGAATGAAAAAATCGTTGTCATTATATAGAGTTCAGTGATTAATTACGCCAAGAAAGGAAACGTGAAAAAAATACTCGCAGATAATGCCAAAAAGAGAAAAATAAACTTGATACCAATGAATAAACAATA